CAATGTTTATTATGAATTGGAAGTTCCTATTTAGCTCAGATCAATCTAATCTGCGTTTTGAAGTTGAAGGGGTTATTATTCTGTGAAGCAGATTGAAAACAATCATAAACAATGTCGTCATTAACGGTTCCGAAAACAAATCAGCCAAATTGGAGTCCCTATGTGAAGGTATATGACCCTTTAAAAGCGGGAAGTATCGACGGGACTGACTTAATTCCACATGACAATGCTGTTGTTCGGGCCATGTCTGCTGAGTATAATCCACCCGATGAAAGAACCATCACCTCAAATCCAGTGAACACATTATTTGTTGGTCGGCTCAATTTGAGAACTAGTGAAAGGCAACTAAAAGATGTAAGGTTCACATTGGTACATGCTTCAAAGAAATATTGACGACAAAAGAGGAAGTAAGTAAATGAATGTCTAAATCCCTGTAACTTCTCTTACTTTCTAGGAGTTTGGCCAATATGGTCAGGTAAAAAGTTGCAGACTAGTACGAGATATCATCACTGGGATGTCTCGCGGGTATGGATTTGTTGAATTCAGAAAGGAATCAGATGCCCATAGAGCGTGGAAAGCAGCACATGGTTCTATGTTCCATGAACGTCAGATTTTGGTGGAATGGGAATTTTCTAGGACAATGCCTGGCTGGATACCCCGCCGACTAGGTTTGTACTGTTGAGAATGGATATAGAGACTCCTTTCATTTGTTTCCTGTTTTGTTACCATCAATTTTGTATCTCTTTCTAGGTGGTGGCCTTGGTGGAAAGAAGGAATCTGGACAGCTGCGTTTTGGTGGTAGAGATCGTCCCTTTAAAAGACCCTTCATTGTTCCTGCAGATCAAGACAGCTCATCCTTTTCAGGTGATTTTGAACAGCATCCTCAAATTCAAGAGGTAGACAGTCATCTGAGAGATGAGTTTGGTAAGGGTAAAAATTTGAGATTGGAAAAGCCCAAGTTTAGGGTTAATGAATTTGAAAACCAGTCTAGCTATGTCTTTGATGATGCACGGAAATATAAGAACTATTCAGACAAAGGGTTAAATTATGATGAAAAGAAGTATAAGAACTTTCCCAAGGAAAAGTTCTTTAATGATAAAATAAATTATAAGACATTTTCAGAAGGAAAGTCTGCTAGTTTATCTCATTTTGGAGAGGATAGAAGAGGGCATAGAAATGATACAAGTAAGTTTTATGAACATCCATCCTATGAAGAAGGTGGACAGAAGTACAGACATAAGAAAGAAGAAAGATATCAATCTATCAACCATGACAAGAGCAAATATAAAAGAGTTACAGAAAATATTTATTATGAGCAAGGTACAAACAAGTATGACAGAGAGTATTCAGACAAGAGTTCTTACTGGGAGGATAGCACGAAATACAGAAGAAAAAGTAATGACAGATACCCTCATCAACTTGATCTTGGGATTAGACAAAAAAAATTCAGTAGAGACTTTAAGGAAAAGCATGCTGATCACTCAAGATGTAATGAAAATGAATCAGAAACATTTAAGAGACATTCACAGAAGAAGTATAAGGAGGGTGATAATTATGAAATTGACAATTTCTCTCATAAATCCTCTGAAAGCAGTATTTCTTCAAAATTTGAGAGAGAAGCTGACAAAAGAGGAAGGGACACTGCAAACCTTGCATTTATAGGTGCAAGTACATCCAAATCAGAAATCGTAACAAGTTATAGACTAGATTCAACCCAGACTTATGAAATGAATCTCAAGAGGAAATATAGAAGTAGTAGTATTTCAAGCTCATCAAGCTGTAGTAAATCATCTTCTAAAAAAAAGCATAGAAGAAAGCATAAAAAAGGGAGTAAGAAAACTGATCGGGGTGAAAATGATGTATCTTCATGTGAATCGGGACCATCTAAAAAGCATAAGAAGTCAAAAAAAAAGAAGAAAAAGAAGTCAAGGAGAGCTTCCAAAGATGGCACTGATACAGATTAAATAGATCAAATGTACAGGTGGATTTAAATTAATTTTTCTTTAT